TGGGGCGCTACATTCCAGGAGCGAAAAAAAAACCCTGCCCTTCTCACCCCGCCTGGGAAAACTGGACCACACTGGGATGGCACCCTGCCCTCCGCCCACCACCCGGAAACTGGCCTGGCTGGCAACGGGGTGGGTAGGGAAGAAGGCAGAGCTGTTTGAACGTGTCCCTCACTACCGCACGAGGGGTGGGAGACGGCAGGGGTGAGCTGCAGAAACGTGATGAGGTTCTAGTTTCCTCTTGATGCAGATCCCGTCGCCCCATGAGTGGGCCTGTGCAGACAGAGATGGTGAGCGATATAAAGATGCGGTGGGGCAGAGAGACGCCTTTCAGACGAGCGAGTCAAAGAATCCTGCCCATTACCTGGAACCCGGAGGCCTCCCACCTGCCCTGTGCACTAGGTAAGCAGTGGGCATCATTCCATGAGACCAGGTTTCCTCAGCCACGGCACTGCTGACAATGGGGATGGATGCTCAGTTCTCTACCGGAGAGGGCAATGGCGCCCCACTCCAGTACTCTTGCCTGGAAAATCCCATGGATGGAGGAGCCTGGTGGGCTGCAGTCCATGGGGTCGCTAAGAGTTGGACACGAATGAGCAGCTTCACTTTCCCTTTTCACTTTCATGCATTGGAGAAGGAAATGGCAACCCACTCCAGTGTTCTTGCCTGGAGAGTCCCAGAGACGGGGGAACCTGGTGGGCTGCCGTCTATGGGGTCACACGGAGTCGGACACGACTGAAGAGACTTAGCAGCAGCAGCAACTCCGCTCTCTACAGTGGGGGCTGTCCTGTGCGTTGTAGGATGTTTGGACGCATCCCTGGCCACTCACGATGGACCAGGAGCAGTTGCCCATTCCCATTCATGATGATCAAAAAGGACACAAACTCACCCCTGGTTGAAAACCACTGCATTAGACCCACATGTACTTACACGAGGGCTTATTTTGTTCCAAGTCCTGTGTTCAGTGACTTACATGCCTCAGTCACATGCATTGAGTCACAACCAATTTATCAAGCTGGGGCGGATGTGGCAGCCCCATACTGTCGTGCGCAGGCTGCTAACCTGTCCTCCCCTCCTTACGGTGTTGCCCTGGCCTCATGTACAACATGCCTCCACCCCACATTCATATTGTAGCAGGGAAATGGAGAGATGGAACCTGGAAGTTGTCCCCATGGCTTAACACCACATCCCATTGGTCAAAACTTGGTCACAGGACCACATCTAACTGCTCGGAAGGCTGGGAAATGTAGTCTTTATGGGGACAGCCCCATCCTCAGCTACAAGTCCCCCATGGAGTTGGGGAAGGATCAGTTCGGTTCAGTTGCTCAAGTCGTGTCTGACTCTTTGTGACCTCATGGACTGCAGCACACCAGGCCTCCCTGTCCATCACCAACACCAATTCCCGGAGTTTACCCAAACTCATGTCCATTGAGTCAGTGATGCCATCCAACCATCTCACCCTCTGTTGTCCCCTTCTCCTCCCATCTTCAATCTTTCCCAGCATCAGGGTTTTTTCCAATGAGTCAGTTCTTTGCATCAGATGGTCAAAGTATTGGAGTTTCAGCTCCAGCATCAGTTCTTCCAATGAATATTCAGGACTGATTTTCTTCAGGATGAACTGGTTGGATCTCCTTGCAGTCCAAGGGACTCTCAAGAGTCTTCTCCAATACCACAGTTCAAAAGCATCAATTCTTCAGCACTCCACTTTAGGACAACTGGCAGCCTCAACTACGTCGCACTTCATAGATAGGGAAATTGAGGCACAGAGTGGTTAAATATTCATCCAAGATCACCCATAGAATAAGGAAATTAAGAAAAGAAATGGATATAAAGTGTAAATGCTCAACGCCAGCCTTCTTCCCTCCTGTATCCTTGGAGGGTCATCCATTGCCATTTATTGGTTCCAAAGATCTTCTTTACAGCAGGTTACTGAAAGTTTTCCTACACCTCTAGGACTGAAGAGTTTCCATTCACCCCTGAAATCCACACCCTTTAGGTCATCCAGGTGCAATTTTCAAGCAACCCAAAGGTGTTAAGAATCATTTATCTAGTGGAGCAAAGGGCCCAAGACCCCTGTTTTCTTACATGGGCAGGCGGGAGAAATGTTGAGGCAAGCTCTCAGCCAAAAAGATTTACCTACACAGTAAGGATGCTGAGGTCAAGAGAAGGGAAGGGACTTTTTCAAGGCCACACAGCTAGCTCCTGGAAGAGTCAGGGCTAGGACCCCAGATGAGGAACCCTGACAAACCACTGTCTTCTAGTTTCCAAGCCCTGGGAGGCATTGCCCCTCCTCCCCCTTCTCACTGCCTGTCCTCTGTCCTGAGCATCTGCCCCCTTTCCTGCCTTAATCCCTTTAGCACTGTGTCAGTGAGATTTCTGGAAGAAGCTGAGGTTTACATTTTGGCGACACTGTTGTTGTCTATCCAACAGCCAGACTCTCTTGTCTTCAAAAGCAGAACCTTGATTTTGTTAAGGAGTAGGAGGTGATAAGTCCGGGCCCAGGGAAGGGATTAAGATGGGGCTAACTTAGTCATATCCCATTCTTCTGGATTTCAATTTACTTTCCCAGTCTCCTTTGCAGTGTAGAACAGACGTATGTCCAGTTCTGGCCAATTCAATGTAAGGGGTGTCCCTTCAAGGAGACTGTGGGAAAGATTACCTCCCCAGATTAAAAGAGCTCTAGGAAAACGGAAGTTCCCCTCTCCCCTCAGCACTTTCTCCTGTCTTGAACTCTGTTAAAGATGTGATGCTAGAGGCAGTGGCAACTATCTTGTGACCACAAGGAGGCAAGACTAATGACAAAAAGCCAACGCATAGAATGGCTAAGCGGAAAGGTTGAAAGTGGCTGGATACTGGATGATATTGTTGAGTTGCTGCCTTGACCCTGAAACTATCTATCTCCAGCTATTTTGTCCTCTGAAAAAATTAAATGCCTTTACTGTTTAAGCCACAGTTAGTGGATTATTCTGAAATTTACTGCTGAAAGGGTTAAGGCACTTCAGTTGTGTCTGACTCAGGACTGTAGCCTGCCAGGTTCCTCTGTCCATGGGATTTTCCAGGCAAGAATACTGGAGTGAGTTGCCATTTCCTACTTGAGGGGGTCTTCCCCCCCTCCACCCCGCTAGGAACCAAACCACACCCCTTACATCTCCTGCATTGGCAGGTGGGTTCTTTACTACTAGTGCTAAAGAAGGCATTCATAGCCAATATAATTATGCTCAGTCCACCATATTTTGGCCCTGGAGTTTCTACCCAACTCCCAGATGGTAGGACCATCACTTATTTTTATGAGTGGTCGACACCTCTTTTTTTTCCTATTTGGAAGCTGATGGAGAGCAGCCCATTCAATTTGCTTCAGTCCTTGCAGGATGAATGAGGTGTGAAAAAGCACACGTACTAATTCTCGGGAGACTTTTGACACTTACTCAGAAGGATACAACATTTGCTTATATTGAGGCGGGCGGCTTAGATTCTTTAATGTATTATTAACTCTCAGAGTCTCACAGCATTTGAGAATTTTGGGCTTAATGAAATGTCTGCATCAATTAGAAACGCTTGGGTGCTGATAACAGAAGAATCACAATGACCAACAGTTATATGCCGAACATAACTTGCCAGGCACTTTAATAGGCACTCCTCCTACACTAACTCATCTATTCTTCACAACCCCACGAGGAGATGCTCGCTTCCCTCCACACAGGGAACGCGGGCACAGAGCAAGTAAGTGACATAGCTGAGTGTGACGCCAGATAGCTGATTCCAGAGGTCATGCTCTTAGCTGTCACTCTTTAGAGCCAAATAACAGTGACTTCAGCCATAAGAACACCTGTCATTTACTTTAAAAAGAGTTTAGCATGGAGTCCTCTGACCTTGCCCTTTGCCATCCTCAGCACGCTGGCTTTTGCCACCTAATTGGCACTGGATGGTGACTGAGGTCAAGCATTCCCATGTCCCATGGCCGTAGCCACGGCAAGCAGAGAAGGCCGCGGCAGCATTGCCAGCCCTCTTTAGTAGAACAGTCTCCCTGGAGCACGCCAGCAAACTGCCTGTTGGATCTCATTGGTCAGAACCAGGTCACATGCTCACCTTGGACCAATCACTAGCAGACTGGAATGGAAACGCCACGATTAGCTGACCAATCACAATTTTTCCCTGGGCAAGGCGTGACTGGCACAATTGGGGTTCAGATAGAAAAGAAGAAGGGAGATGCCTGGTGTGTGCGTAGGGGGCCGATGGCGTGGATCCCAGCCTCCGACATCGCTGCGTGTGTAGAGTGAGCTGTGCTATGCCTTCAGCTCTTTACGTATATTATCAAGTCGTCACACTATTATTATCCCTGTTAGGATGAAAAATTTAAAGCCCGAAGAACTTCAAGTGACTTGTCTTAAATCAGACAAGAGAGTCAGGCAGAGAGGAGGAAACTGGATTCAAATGCAAACCCCTTAGAGACACGTTCTCAACCCCTCTAGATGGGGTTGCCAGATAAAATAAAGAATGACCAGTTAAATTCAAATTTCAGATAAAGAAAGCAAATGTTTTAGTTTACATCTGTCCCAATTATTGCATGGGCTATACTTTTACCAAAAAAAAAAAAAATCTGTTGTTGATCTGAAGGTCAAATTTAACTGGGAATACTACATTTTTATATGCTAAATTTGACAATCCTACTTAGGGTCACCGGGTCAGAAACCTCAGCACTGGTGTGGGAGCTTAGCCACACTCTGTTTGCATAATAAACACTAAGAAAATTCCACAAAGAAATATGCATTCTCCCATTTTTCTGGAAACCTGATCCCTCTTGGGTTATTATTTGCTTTCTTCTTTTCAAGAAGGGTACAGAGAAAATGCCCCTGCCCTCAGAAAAACAACAGTGTATGTATTGGGATAAATGGCCACTGGCATTTGGCCTCAAGGCCAAGGAGACGGGGGCGGGGGGGGGGGGGCAGGGGGAGTCCTTTCTCACACGCCCATTCCCAGTTGATTATTACCAGGAAGAATGTGGACCTAGCAGAGTCCAATCCTCCAATGTTTGAAGGGAGGTAGAAATCTGAGTTTTTCTGTAAAATCTCTTTATTTGTGAACACTGGCTCAAATTTTATTAAAATGCCGCATGTGCCAAAGGAAACATATCTGCAGGCTTGTGGGCGGCCAGGGAAAACCGCTGCTGTGTCACTTGGGGAGATGAGGCTGCGGCTTCTGCAGGCAGGGGAGCAGGGGCCTGGGCTGGCGATAGGAGAGTTCGTGGGGCTAGAACTGCAGCCAGAACGGTCTTTGACTCTCCTCTCTTCCAGGTAAGTGCTGTGTGACGGTGGGCAGGCTGCCTAGCCTCTCTGTTTTCCAAACCATTCAGAGGCTGTCACTGTACCCTTCATACCGTGAGGCTGGGAGGATTCCACTGGTGGAGCGGATGCAGGTGAGGTGCCTGGCACGCGGTGAGGTGCGCTTACTCCTCTCTCGTCCCTGGGAAGGGCCCACACTCACAAGTTTGATTCGAATGTGACTTGTTTGTGCCCTTCCTTCCGTCCTCCCTTCCATCTGCCATCTTTCCCTCTCTCATTCCCCCTTCTCTTCTTCTTCCTCCTCCTCCTTCTTTTTTTCAATTGAACTGTGTGAAGATTCAGGGCCAGGTGTCAGATGATGGGGGAGCAGGCTGTGACACTATTCCAACCTGGAAGTGAGACTGGGGGAAGAGTCTCTTTCTCACAGGGCCTCAGTTTCTCCCTCTGTGAAATGGGCAGTTCTGATTGCAGATGTATTATAGACACTCTTGCAGGGGGGCCAGGGTCAGGCAGTTCTGTGGAGACGTCTCAGGGTGGGATGGGGGTGGGGATGGGGGCCTTGGGGGTGATGGGAGGGGTTGCCTGGAGGGGGCTGAATCAGAGGGCGCTCTCAGGGCTGGGGGCAAGAGAAGAACACCCCAGTGGACAGTGCCCAGTGACTCACAGGCCACAGGAAGGCAGCAACCCCCGTCAGCAGGGAGCCCATGAACACCCTCGGAGGAGACCAATGTCCCTGCCTGTCTCAATCTGACCCCGGGCCCATCCCTGGGACTTGGGGTCAAGGGTCTTAACACAGCCTCCTGCCCGGAACCTGGAAACCCCGAGCCCCTCCTCCCGGCTCTCTGAGACCTGACCTCTGCTCACCTCCCCTCTCACCCTCCTCGCTCTTGCCAGTCCAGCATCTGGTGAGTTTCCCGAATGGGTGCTTCTCCTGCTGAGACTCCAGGCCTGGGCACAAGCTATTCCCTGCTGGATTCTGGTCGCCCCCCTCTGCAGACCTCCCCAAGATCACGCTTCCTTCCGGCTCGAGTCACCCCCGTGGAAAGCCCCTGCTGGTCCCCAGGTGATGGGGCCCTCCTGGAGCCCCGCCCACCTCCTTAGAGTGCCCGCCCGTGAGCTGCCTGTCTGCTCAGTCCGTCTGTCCTTCTTCCTGAGGGCGGGGTCAGTCCTGTTCCTGCAGTCCACTCATTGAAGGAATTAATGGGCGAGTGAGTGAAAGAACAGATGAAGCTCTCCAAGGGTCTGGTACGTTTCCCAGTGCAGGGGGCTCTGCGCCCTCTCAGAGGGATGTCACAGCAAGTCAGGTGCATCCTCTACCTCAGCCCTCCTGTATCACCCTGCTGCATTGACAAAAAAAAAAAAAAATACCCCACACTCCAGCCAGGGCCTTCCAGTGTCGCCATGTATCCAGCCCCACTGACCTCTGAGACCCCACCTCCTCCCCAGCGGGCCCCAGCCCCATCGCATCTCAGCCGAGCTGGGCTCTTTCTGTTTCTTCACCAACCAGGCCTGTTCCTGCTTCCGAGCAAGCACTTTCTGTTCCCGAATTGCTCAGCCCCAGGCCGTCTTCTCATGTATGTCTCAGCCGTGTCACTCCAGTCTTCTTGCCTGGGAAATCCCACGGACGGAGGAGCCTGGTGGGCTACAGTCCACGGGGTCGCAAAAGAGTCAGACACGACTTAGCGACCAAACAACAAGAACGTCACCTCGCAGAGGCCTTTCCCACACACATCTTCCCTCAGGTCGCCCTGTTTTGTCCCTTCCCAGCGTGTATCGCTACCTGAAATGATTTCGTTCTCTTCAAGTACTTGATCCACTTTTATCAGAGCTCACTGCGGTGCAGAATAGACAGTTTCCCCAGCTCCCCTTGCAGCTAGGTGCACCCTTGCAACCAAGCTCTGACTCCCGGCTTGTAACTGGGAGTATGTGTAACAGTTTCTGGAAACTTCCCTAGAGATTCAGCTGTTGCTTGCCCTCTACTCGTTATCTTTTCTTCTCCACCCTGCCAACTGGAAGGCAGAGGAGAAGGCTGGTGCTGTGGCCTCCATGTTGGGGCATAAAAAGGAAGACCATACCCTGGGAAAGGACAGAGGGTGGGACACTAGGGCTCCATGGAATCTTCGGACCCGCCCTGAACTGCCTACATCTGGACTTCATTCATAGGAGAGAAAACTAAGCTCCCCTTTTTATGGTTGATGTCTTCAAATTAAGCTTCGTATATTTTATCATGAGTACACTTGTTTGGCCAAAGCAGTATAGTCTAATGAAAAATGTCAGTTAGACTACAGGCTGGTTCTTTTTATTTTAACGTGTGCTCTATAGGGCTTTGTCTAGAATTTTAGCTGGAGTACTGGAAGAGCCCCGGGTCAGAGAAGGGAGGCCACACCGGAGTGGGGTGCAGAGCTGAAGTGTGATCCCAGGGCCACAGGTCCTAATGCCCAACCCTCTTTCTCAGAAGCTCCCAGCTTGAGGTGTTGCTGGACTTCCCCCAGGACAATGGGCAGAGTGGTCTACACTCACCCTGCCTTTTAGGCCATCAGGCCAAGAAGCCCTTCCTTGTTTCTCAGGGGCCCAGATGTGCTGGGACTGTGAGAGAAGACCCTGAGTGTGGGGTGCAGTGGGGATTAGATCCCAGCCCTACTGCTGGCAAGCTGTGCGCCTCGAGGAAGACCCCAGTCTTGCCGAGCTTCAGTTTTATGACAAGTACTGTCCCTGGGCATGACGAGTGCCCTGCAGAGTCCCCGAGGGGCCGTGTTAGAATGTCTGCACACTGTCCTGGTGTCCAGTGGCTAGGACGCCCGCTCCCAATGCAGGGGGCCCGGGTTCCATCCCTGGTCAGGGAACTAGGTCCCCCATGCCATAACTAAGAAGGAGTTTGCACGTCACAACTAAAGATCCCACATGCTGCAACAAAGACTGAGGATCCCCCGTGCTACAAGTAAGACCTGGCACAGCCAACTGAGTAAATACTTTAAAAAGTAGAATGTCTGACGTTCATGAAGGATAGAGTGCTACATCCCACAATGTGGAAACTTCTCAAGCACAGGTTGTATCATTGGTGTGAAAAGGAGGTGGGCAACTTAGTGCAAACTTTGGAATCAGTTTGGGTTCAAATCCTGGCCCTACACTTAACCATGGTGTGACCCTGAGCTAGTCACTTCCCTTGTTCTGACTTTCCTTAATGTCTTCATTGGAAAACATGGATTCATTCATTCATTCAACACACATGTGCTGAGCACCTCTCAGGCAGGCCGACACTGGGTGCTGAGATTCAGTGCTAAACAAGTCAGACCAAGTCCTCCTTGTGGAGCTGATATTGAACAGGGGAGGGAGTCAGACAGCAAAGAAACAGACACACATGTAGCATGACTGCAAGACTCATGAGGCAAGCCAAAGCGGGGGGAGAACGAGATGGAAGGAGGGCTTCTCTAAGGCAAGGTGCTCAGGGAGGCCTCCCTGAGGATGTGGCGGAGACCTGAACAGGGTGAGACATGAGGTTCTAGGGTAGCTGGGCCTGGTCTCCCCCATCACCCTGTAACTATTCCTGGGCCTCCCCCGGCTGAATTCTTCCCCAGAGCAGGAACTGCGTGGTGGCCAACTCTGTGTCCTGGGCACTAGCCCAGGATGACTGAGTGAGCCAGAAACACTGGCTCCCAGCCGCCACCCCCCCACCCCCCACCGCCCCGATGCTGCGTCCAGTCCATCAGCAAGGCTGCCTGTTTGGGTTCCTAAAGTTTTCTTGAATCTATCCACTTCTCTCCGCCCACCCTCACCTCCTGCCTGGAGTGCTGCAGTAGCCCCCCGCCTTGGTCCCCCAGCTCCCACCTCACCCTCCCCACGTCATTGCCTACCCCACCCTCCCCACCTCTGTCCTCCCTGCGGCATCTGCATCAGTTTCCCACGGCTGCTGTAGCAAATGATCACAAACTTCGTGGCTTAAGAGCACGAATTTATTTACTTACAGTTCTGGAGGTCAGAAGTCTGAAATCAGTCTCTGGGCTGATGCTGGCAGGGCTGGCTCCTGCCGGAGGCTCTGGGGAGAAGCCGTTTCCTTGCCTTCTCCAACTTCTAGTGGTGGCTTGCATTCCTTGGCTTGTGGCCCCTTCCTCCCTTTTCAACGTGCCTTTTCTCAGTCTGGTTCTGTCATTCTTTCTGCCTTCTCCTCTTCCGTGGTCAAACCTCCTTCAGCCTCCATCTTATAAGGACTCCTGTGATTCCATTGAGCCCACTCAGATCACCCAGGATCATCTTCCCAGCTCAAGATCTTTAACTAAATCATAGCTGCAAAGTTCCTTATGTCATACAAAGTGACGTTCAAAGGTCTGGGGGATTAAGAGGAGGATATTTTGGAAAGGGAGCATTATTCACCCCAAGGGATCTTATTAGAACCTAAGTTAAGTCTTGTGCCTTCTCTGCTTAAAATCACCCTGTAAACCCAGCTCCCTCCGAGCACGTGCAACGCCCTTGCAGTGGCCACAAAGCTCTACACAGTTGTGTGCTGGTTACTTCTCTGAGCTCCTCTTCAGGCCCGTGCCTGCTTGCTGGGCCTCAACACTCCACGCATGCACCTGCCTCGGGGCCTTTGCGCATGCTGTTCCCTCGGCCTGGAGCCTTTCACCCTGCCTCTGCCCAAGGCTGGTTGCTTGTTATCCTTCAGGTCCCACCTCCTCAGAAAGGGCCCCTTGGACCCTCCCTGCAACAGCCCTTCCGTCTCCCCACCGTCTGAACAGTCTGAAATTGTCTTCACTGTGTGTTTGTTTTCTTGTTGATCATCCACCATCCCCACAAGACTACTACCTCTTAAAGACCCAGTAGGGCCGGTCTGTCTGGTTCCCTGCACCGAAGACAGGGCCTGGCACCCAGCAGTGCTCAGGAAGCCTTTGCTCCACGACCCCCGTGAGGCCAGTTTCCAGTGTCCCCCTGGGCTGTTGTGAATAAGATGCAAACACATTTAAAGACATTCTGACTGTCCTGGTGACTTTTTGGCTTGATTTCTTTCCTCAGTCAGTGATTAAAACCCTGTCTTCACATGTGAAAAAGCAGTGAGGCCTTGTTTATACCAGGCAAGCAAGGACTTCAAAGGGCCTGGAATAGAGGTGAGTTGAGGTCTCCTAAGGACTGAAGCTGTCAGAAGTGGCCTTGGGTCTCTTGAGGGAAGCGCAGGGTCATGGAGTGGGAGCCCTGGCAGTGGGGCTCTCTGTCTGGGCCTTGGCTTCCACATCTGTGACTGGAGATTGTAACAGGGCTACAGAAGGGTTCACACCTGTCCTCACCTCACAGCGGGGCTCACACCTGTCCTCACCTCACAGCGGGGCTCACACCTGTCCTCACCGCAGGGCTCACACCTGTCCTCACCTCACAGCGGGGCTCACACCTGTCCTCACCTCACAGCGGGGCTCACACCTGTCTTCACAGGGGGGTTCACACCTGTTCTCACCTTACAGTGGGATTCACACTTGTCCTCACCTTACAGCAGGGTTCTCAGCCTCCATGCCACTGACATTGGGGGCTGGATCATTCTTTCCTGGTGGCTCGGACAGTAAAGAATCTGCCTGCAATGCGGGAGACCCAGGTTCCATCCCTGGGTCGGGAAGATCCCCTGGAGAAGGAAATGGTAACCCACTCCAGTATCCTTGCCTGGAGAATCCCATGGATGGAGGAGCCTGGCAGGCTACAGTCCATGGGGTCGCAAAGAGTTGGACGTGAGTGAGCGACTCTTATTCACTCACTCATGTCCTCTGCTGTGGGGGCCCCCCTGTGCAGGGCGGGGTGCTGAGGAGCATCACTGACCTCTACCCCTGAGATGCCAGGAGCATGTCCCCAGTTGTGACAACCCCAAATGACCCCTGATGTAGCCTAAAGTCCTCCGAGGGGAAAAAAATCGTGCTGGGCTGAGAACTGCCACCTCAGTTGAAAGAGACGATGTGGGTAAGGCATCTGGCTCACAGCCTGGCACTCAGCACCTGCTCAGGAGACGGGAGCTGCTATCTGGTCAGGAGAGTGGCCGGGCTGGACTCCTGGCTCTGCTACTTAGCAAGTTAGCAGGTGGCCTCGGGAGAGTGACTCTAGCTTCCTGAGCCTCAGTTTCTTCATCTGGAAAATGGAATAATAACATCGCTCACTCTCTTGGAATAGTCAGGGGGCATAGGGACCGCGCCCCATACCCGGTAGCTGCTTCAAGTTACTAACTCTGAGGATGAAGATGAAGGTGATGGCAACTCCTGGGAGAAGTGGGGGCAAGAGAAAGGGCACTTTGCAAGTATAGCCTGGGGTCTTGAGACTGTGTGTGCCCCTGCATGAATGAGGGACACGCAGTCACCTCTGCCCACCCCTGAGAGGGCAGCTGGCTCAGACCCTCGGCCCTGCTGGGGCGTTTAATAATTAAGCTGGATAAGGGGTGACAGCACTGGAAGGCCAGCAGCGAGTGGGCCCTGGCCTTGTTTGGCTTTGGTGACGTTATGGCCCTGGGATCATGGCCTTCTCGAGCCCATAAACAGGGGGCTGGGCCCCGAGACAGGCAAGGCCGGGCCAAGGTCTGTGACAATGGCCTTGTGTCCGAGCCACGCCGGGGCTGGGCGGGGCGCTCTCGAACGGGGGCTCTTTCCCGCGGGGTCAGCTCTCCCCTCTCCCCTTGCTCACACCCTTTCTCTGTCTCCTACCTTGCCCACCCACTCTAATCGTCGCCTCCAGCGTCTCCAGCTCTCATTGCCTGCCGAGTGCTGCCAGAAGGCTTCCTTGCGCCCACCACCCCTATCGTGGAGGGGGTCCCCTGCCCCCTCCCCAGATGAGCAAGGCCGGTGACCGTGGGTCCTAGTGCCCAAGTTGGGAATCAGAGGCTGGGAGTGCTGAGTCGCCAGCCCCCGGGGCAGGGCCACGGTCCAGCCCAGGCAGCTCAGGTCTGGGGTCTCCCAAGCTTGCACTTAAACCCACGCCCCGGCCCGGCGCCTCAGCCCCTCTCCCTCTGACTCTGCTGTCTGTCTGTCTGTCTGTCTGTCCCCCTCACCTGCCCGCAGCTTTCTCTAGACCACTTTCTATTGGTGTTTTTCTGCATCTCTAGGTCTCTCGTTTTCCACCTCAATTTCCCCTTTCACGTCCTGGGTCTCCCCCCTCCCCACTCCTCCCTCCCTCGGGGTCCCTTCTTTCCGGTTCTGTGTTTCTCTTCTCCGCCTCCCTGAGCCTCTGCATCTTGAACTCTGTCTATTTCTCCCTTTCCTGTTCACTCCCCCCTTGCCTGTCTCCCCCTGACCGCCCCGCCTCCGGGCCGTCTCCCTGCAGCCAGCCCTTGTC